TGGCCGTTTTCGGTTCGCGAGAGGGCCTCGCGGCCGTCGTTTTTGCGGGTCCAGGTCCGTCGGTTTCGGTCGTAGGCCGTTTTCGCTAAAGGGTGGTTTACTAAAGGGAGGTTTGTCCACCGCCGATATTTTCACGTGTCCACAGATCGTCATCCTCTGGACATGGCTTCCTCACTGGCAGCGTTTAGGAGAGGATGGGCCCAGGCGTGGATGCGTCGACCACCACTAATCGCCAAGTCACCGCCGACAGGGGCCCGGTAGTTCACCCTGCCCAGGACCTGTGCGGTTTCACTGTCGTGGGCCCCTCGCCGGCCTATCGGCGATGTATCGCCGATTTCAGGTCGATGCTTCTCCCGGGCAGCCAGTCCCCACTCAACATTGCCCCTCCCTCCCTCCATCCCTCCCGCCGCCTCCCCGCTGCCCCCTTCCCTGACCCCTGTTGGAGCCCCTTCCTGCCCTGGGTCGCGGCGGAATCTGGGAGGAGAGCAGCGCGCTCGCCTCGAACGTGTCTGCTCGTTCGGGGATGGCCTCGGCGTGATCCGAACGTGCTGGGCCTTGGCGAAGTCCCAGACGTACGATGTCTCCGTGATCATCCCGTCGTCAGCATCGCATGCGGGTTGTCTGCGCCTGTCCTTCTGTAGACTCTACAGAAGGACAGGCGCAGTGTAGAGGGATCGGCCTTTGGGTCGCTCTGGATCCGCCAATGACCGGCAGCGGGGCGGACATATGGACACCACGAAAGTGTAAAGAGATGTCGGCACGCCTGAGTCTCTCATGTCCTCATGTCTTTTATCGGCGGCGAGCGGGGGGGGGGGAAGTGAGAAGGAGCAGGCCTTCTCAGAAGTCTCGGAAGTCCCCCCCTGGCCTTAAAGAAGTGTTCCACGCCTTCCCCGAAGACAAAACAAACTTCTCAGAAGGCGCGGGGGACTCTGAGAGGTCCAGCCGCCTTTGATCAGCGAGCGAATAACTGTATAAAATAAACTTTTTCGCTGTCGGGGGCGCCTGTCCCTGGGCGGCTGGAAAGTTTATGCCCCTACGGTGCCACCGTCAGCGTATAAACTTTCCAGCCGCCCTGGGACAGGCGCCCCCGACGGCGAAAAAGTTTATTTTATACCGTTTTTCGCCCGTTAATTTGAAAAGGCCTTCTCATTCTCTCTTCTCCCCATCGCTCGCCGCCAAATGTCTTCTGGCGAAGTGAAGAGCAGGCTGGTGCCCTGCGGGCTGCGCTCGGCAAGGTGCCCATGCGTCGAGAGCGCAGCCTGCCGTGTTCGCCTGTCGTCCCGGTTTTTGGGGGGCCGAGCGCCCCTCTCCCTCCACCTTCTCCCGCTCCCCCTCTCCCTCCCCCCGCTCCCTCTCCCTCTCCCTCTCCCCTCTTGTCCCCCTCCCCCCCCTCTTTCTCCTCCTTCTCTCCCCCCCCCCCCCTCCCCCTCTCACCCTGCCCTCCCCGGCCACCCTCCCCTCACTCCCCCCCATCCCCCCTTCCGCCCCTCTTCTGCATTGCCCCCTCCCTCTCTCCCCCGCCTCCCCCACAGGGCTGCTTCTCCCCCACCTTCCAGGGCCCTGGGCTGCTGAGCGCGGGAATGACTGCAACTGACCGCCCCCAGTCTCCGCCAGAGCCGCCCCCGCCGGCGGCAGCGACACGGACGCTCCGCTCCCCTCGCCTCGCCGGGGGGGACGGGCTGCCCCTGCGCGCCCCTCGCACCCCTCGCTCGGTACCGTTGAATCGATCTCCGCCCCCCTTCCCATCCCCTTCGAGACCCCCACCAAGTTGCCACCCCAGCTGGGGATACTCCCCTCGAAGCCCCAAGGGAACGACCTATATCCCCATCTAGAGGGGACAATCGGCCAGCAGGCCCAGGCCACGCCGCTCAGGATGGGGATCGGTTAAACGATACTCAATCACTCAGGCGATCGCCAACATTCAAGAGGGAAAGAAACACACAGACACAATTAATCGGCGATTCCCCAGAAAATATGGGAAGTGGGGGGGAAGACAAAAGCCCAGAAAATATAGGAAAATATTGGGTTTTGTTTTGTAATTTGTGTGTATTTATTTGTGTGTCCTGGGGCCCCTTCAATTAAGGGGGCGTGGATTGGCGACGGGTCCCGTTTCCATGGGGGAATCGTGGATTTCCGCCGCCGAACGAGGCGGCACCGGCCGCGTTTTGGGGAGGGCGCCTCCCCCGATCCATGGGATTAGGCGACCGCACGCCAGATCCATGGATCGCTACTCCATGTTTGCGCGCCCCCGACTCACCTGGGGAGACAAAAAGATACCAGTAACGCTACTCCCCAGACCACTTCTGGGGTGCGTTCTGGCCCAGATGTCGAGGCGAGTCCAGCGGTGGCGACGAGGGCCTCCCAGGAGGCCTGGAAATGGGAAAATGAGGGAGGGGTAGCAGTATGGTTACCTTTTCCTCCTCTGATCATCCGCTCTTTCCAACTTCTCCACACTCCTGTGGTGTCGGGTCCATACTTTTCATCCGCACCGCCGCGTGTCTCCTCCCTCCCACTCCCCGCGCTCCCTCCTCCTCCTCCTCCTCCTCCTCCTCCTCCTCCTCCTCCTGCTCCTGCTCCTCCTCCTCCTCCTCCTCCTCCTCCTCCTCCATCCTGCCCTCGCCCATATCGGCACACCCGTGACTCGAGTCGTGCTTCACTGGCCCCACGGAGAGCCCCACCTGGGCGCCCGAATGGCGTCGCCGCGCACACTCCAGCACACAAGCTTTGTGCGGAGGTGGAGGAGGAAGAGGAAAATGAGGAGGAGGAGGAGGAGGAGGAGGCGGAGGAGGAGGAGGCGGAGGAGGCGGAGGAGGAGGAGGATGAGGAGGGCGGAGAAGATTGCGGTGTAGGGTAAGAGAAGCAGGAGCGGTAGGCAGGGGAGGAGGCCGCAAGACGGGAAGGAGGGGAAGGAGAGTAATTGAGAACGATGATGACGATGAGTAGAACGTGGAGGAGGAGAAACAGAGAGATGAGCACGAGGAAGAGCCAACTTCTGAAGCCATTCCCGACCAAGTCGCCTCAGGAGTTAATTCAGACAGCATGAACAGTGGACAGGCCAAAGAGCCCAAAAGGTAAGAACTCTGGCGCCATTCCGAAGTGTAAACCGGTCTTCCAGTATCGAATGGCCGTCGGCCCAATCCGACACAGTGCCTGGGTCGTGGGTGTCTCTCAGAGGGGTCTCGCGGGCCTCTTTGGGCCTTTTGGGGGCCTCTTGGGACCTCCCGGGGGCCTCTTGGGGGCGTATTGAAAGTTTCCTGGATACATCCTGGGAGATTTTGGATGCCTGCTGACAGTCTGGGGTTGAGGCGGAGGGCTAGAAATGTAAGTTTCCCCTCGCAGGACTGTCTTAAGAGTCTCTTGGGCCGTCGTGGCGCCTCTGTAGTGCCTGATAGCCGTCTTGGGGCGATCTTGGGGCCTCTTTCGTGGTCATGGAGCGTCGGAAGTCTGAAAGGGTCAGAACCCTACAATAATTTGAGCACCAATCGGAAGTACATATGTTCGGCTCCTGCGGCCCTCTTTGGCGGTCTCTTTGGATCTTCTTGGGGCGTATGTGGGCCTGTCGGGTCGTCTTGTATTGCCCAAGAGCTCGATCTCGGGGTTGTGGGCCCCGTAGGGGATAGGCACAAGATCCAGCACAGGGGACTCTGAGGGGCTTGGGGGCACAACTACGTTCCAGTGCACGGTGGCGGATCGTGTGCGCACAGTTGATGTGCACGAACGCGACAGTTCGCTTCAAGCGCTCAGAACGACCTTGCATAGTTTTAAGTCGGGCTCGTCCCTCTACAGGAGGAATATTCGAAAATAGTCAAACATAGTATGGGGACGATTCCCTCGTATGTTTGGCCTATTTTTTAAAAATTTTGGAATCTGTTTTTAATTTGTTCACCCAAGATCCCCTCGTAGGCGGACAGGCCCGACCCGAGCACAGCTGAGGCGGGAAGGCAGGAACGTTCTGCGCCTGCACGCGCGAAAGGAGCTTGGGGGTCTCGGAGGGGCGGCGGGCGACACTCGGGCCGCCGAAGGAGGAGCCCCGTTCGTTGGGGAGGGGCTCGGTGCTCCTTACTGGTTGTGCAATGGTTCGCAGGTCTGCCTCAGGTTTTCCTCAGGCAGTTGAAGTTGAACTCGTGGGAAAAAAGGGGCCTCGTTCCTCATGTAGGGATCTTTCTGATGGCGTTTCGACTGCGGGATGTTTTGCCCGGGAGACGGCGGAGGCGAGGTGGGGGAGGGAGGAGCGTGGGCGAGGAGGTCCGGGCCGCAGGCCGCTGCCACACCAGGATCAGTGGCGCACCAAGTCCGAACAACATACAAGCAAGTGGCGCACCGAACTCCCGTAAGCCAGGGCTTCGGCGTTGCTGCTGCTGGCGTGCCGGCAGTCTTCGTTGCTTCCAGCTGCTTGTCCTTCACTCTTCCTCATCTGCGCCGCTCGGTTGTCCTCCCACGAAGGGCGAGGAAAGGGGGTCCCAAGGATTAAGCGCCTCGCAGGGGATCCTCGGCTCCCGAGAGAGACATCGGCGGTTTCGCTTCGCGCTGGGCCGTGGAGGCCCAGCAAACTAGCGGTACCCCGAGAGGGGTGGGCCGTTCTGCGGAGACTCGTTGTTGGGGGCCGCTTGCAGCAGCAGGCTGTCGGCACAGACCAAGGAAGGGCGCCAGCGTCCGGGTGGTGCCCGCAGAGATTCGTCGCCTGTGGCAAGCGGAGGGGCCCGGTGCTACTGCGCGTTGGCGCGGCTGCTGGGAGCAGGACGGGCTGAGCAGATGCCAAAGGGGGGCGGTGGGGCGGTGTGTGGCGTGCGGGGAAAGGAGGACCCCCTGCCTGGAAAGAGGCCTGACGCGCGTTGGCTGTGCTGCCCGAGCCGCCGGCGAAACAAGGAACATGTGCGAAGGAGGCGGGAGTCGGGTCATTGGACCTCATTCAGTCCGAGCATCTCCTCACACCTCTCCTTCGAGTCCTCCTTCCATGCGACCTTCATGGAGCTTTCCGGAGCACCAGCTTCGTTATGACCATGACGGCAAGCCAGAATTATTTCACAAGCGGGCGGCCCAGAAAAAAAACAGCATGACGTGGCCACATCCATTCCCCAATGGCTGATGTGCCCATCGTTTTGTAGATGCCGCTGGCACGTAGATTTTCGCCGATCGCCTCACAAGCGCACGTACCGAAGCGGTTTGCGCAGCGGACGCCGTCGACGCCCCAGTAGGTGTTACGACCAGTTTTGCATGGGACCAGACGGCTTATCGGGTGGTACGAGTCGTAGGGAGGGAGGGCGGAGAGATGGGTGGAGAGAGCAGGAGAGCGAGGGAAGTGTGTGAGGGAGGAGAGGGGAAGATGGGGGAAGGAAGGAGCGAGCAGGAAGAGGAGCGGAAAGAAACAGAGGGAGTGTCGGCGGGAAGCCAGGAAGAGGGAAGGAGAGGGAGGAGGAGTGCAGCATGTATTCGGCTGCTGGTCCTCTGCAGCATTGGCATCCTCCACATTCTCGAACCACCTCTCCCACATCTACCTCCTCCACCTCCTTCACCAGAATCACTTGAAGTTGCTCATCATCCTTGCGCATCTCACGAGCGGAGCTCTCCAAGCCTGGCAAGGAGACTGTCCTGTTCCAGCCCGGCCAGATCGGCGTCAAGGCCGACTGGGGCACCGGGCTGGTCCGAGCCGTGCCTGAAGGCCCCCGGTGCTACAGTCAACCCGCATCGCACATTGTAACGATAAGCAACTTTCCCAGGTTACCCTTGCATCCTTCCCCTTCGGCCCACCCTTGGCCGCGTGCGCTGGCCGCGCCCCGCTCGCAAAGTGTCGGCGTGGCCTTCCGAGGCCCTTGCAGCCTCATCCTGCGTCCTTCCTATACGGGGTCACTGTACAGCGCCGATCGGCATCGGATGTTTGCTCATTCCGCGACCCTCCGCCTTCTTCCTCCTTGGCGCTTTCTTCCCTCGACAGGGGAACGCTAGGATAATGCTAGACGTTCCGCGTAACCGACCCCACCCGCCCATCCAGAAGCGATACTCATGCGAGCTGCCCTGAGCAGGGACGTGGAAGAGCATGCAGTGGAATAAAGGGCTGGGGAAGCCGTCCTACCCCAACAGGGGGAGGATGGATGAGGGGGAACGGGGAAATGGGAGGGGGAAGGTGGAGGGGGCGGAGGGGAAGGAGGAAGGGGGAGGACCAGGAGGAGTGCGAAGGGGGATGGGGAGAGGGGGAGCAGGGAGGAGGGAGGAGAAGGAACAGTCGGACGAATAAGGAGGAGGAGGAGGAAGAGGAGGAGGAGGAGGAGGAGGAGGAGGGAGCGGAGCGGAGCGGAGGCGCCGGTTCCGGGCACCGGGGATGCCCGTGCCGTTTGGGCAAGGCGCAAGAGGTCGTAGCCTCAGACCGTGTGGGTGCTGAAACTTTGGATGGCATAATTCACGAACCGGAACAAATAGAGCGTGTGGTCGGAATAGGACAGCAACCAGCACAAATAGAATATGTGGACGAAGTAGTACACGAGCCGGCGCAAATAGAAGACAGGCAAGACGGAGTTCAGGATTGTGTTTGTGGTCGGTGGTGTTTGTTTGTGGTCAGTGCTGGTGGTCGATTCCTGTGTTCTGTCAGTGTTGTTGGTCGGTGCCACGTGCTGGTGGTCAGTGTTGGTTCGTGGTGGTCGATGCTGGTGTTCGTTGGCGTTTGGTGCTGGTGGCGCTGCTGGTCGTTGGTTGGTGTCGGTGGTCGGAGCTGGAGTCGGTGCTGTCGGTGCTTTGCTGCTGCTGCTGCTGTTGGTGTGGTCGGTGTTTGTACTGGCGTTGCTGGTGCCGCTGCTAGGTTATGTTGGGGACACACCAGTGGAACTTGTGTGTTGTCACAAGGTGGCGTGCACACGTCTTGCGGGATCGCCCTGCCGATTCCCACGGGGAGGGTGTACCGTTTCAGGTGGGTGGTCCAGTGGCCGATGCACTCTTCATGTTTGTTCGTGTTGGCCTCGTCTGTGCAGGATAGGCCGGTAGATCCAAAACGTTGGCATTACAGTTGTGCCATCAAGCCCCGCACGCACAGAAAGGGGCTGCGTAAGCTAGGAATCAGCGCCCCAATTTCTGCCCCTCCTTACAATGCTTCTGTCTTGTCCCCCTGCGTTTATCCCACTAAGTGGGATTGCTCTCCTGTGTGCGTGATGCCTGATATGACGACTTGTGGCTGCTGCTGTTGGGCGGTTTGCACAGTCAACTGGTGTATGCAAAGAAGCTGCTTTCAAGTGTGTCCCACCACGTTGTCTCCGTTGCGGCTGTTAACCATCTTATGTCCTTGCTGTCGTAGTGGATATACTGCCGTGGGCGAGTGGCTTCGTTGGTGTTGCCTTGTGTGGCTGCGTCGCTGGTGTTCTGGTGCAAACTTTTGAGAAACTTTCGAATGTCGTCGTCCCACCGCTTTTGTTGACCACCATGTTTCCGATGGCCCTGCTGTCTCTCGTCAAGAGACGGGTTCAGTTCATTGCTCGTTGTGTCCATCGGGTCGGTGGGTGATGTGCTACTCGTGCGGCCCAGCGCCAGACCTTTTTTCTGTGTGTTTGCTCCACGCCAGGGATGTCGTGCATGCTCATTAGCTCCTCGGCTCTGCGCGTGCTACGACGGATGAAATCGGACCACAGCTCGCTGTCGTCCGTCGTCTGGTCGTCGCTAGTGTCTTCACGCGGAGTAGGCGGGTTGCTGGATGCGTCGTGGTCGCTGGAATCGTTGAGATCGTCTCTGCTGGGGTCGTGGTCGTTATGGGTGTCCGTGGGCGGGGTGGGGTGTGTTGACGTGCGAGTGTTCGTGCGCCTTCTCGGTGTTGCGATGATCGCTCTGACCATTCGTCGTTGTGTGCGGCGTAGCTCTTGCCTGAGAGGCTCAGTTCAGGTCCACGTCTCTGCGCCGTACGTCGAGGTGGGTATTACAGTCCCACGGTAGAGTCGCAGCCTGTGCTGGAGTGGGTAATGTTTGCTCGTGAGGGGGAGGAGGAGGGAGGAGGAGGAGGAGGAGGAGGGCGAGGGGGAGGAGGGCGAGGAGGAGGAGGGCGAGGTGCTCTGAGGAGGAGGAGGAGGGGGAGGAGGAGGAGGAGGAGGAGGGCGAGCAGAAAGGCGAGAGTCCCATTGGATGTCTCTCGGAGTCTCTTCGGATGTCTCTCGATAGCTTCATGCAATACTTTTGGAGCGTCTTGGGGGACCTCTTGGGAGCCTCTTTGGGCCTCCTGGGCGCCTGTTGTGGCCCTCTTGGGGCACTCTTGCTAGGCTTGGGGCAATCTTGAAGGAGGGCGATCAAAGAAGCGAGGTTGGCGGGGAGGGGGTCTAGTGCAGGCGATCTGGTAAGGCGACTACGTGAGAAAAGATGTTGAAGTGATTCGGACATGTTGGTCCGGCTCCCAATGGGCTTCAGACCTTTAGTGTTTGCCCCCAGTAGATGACAACACGTACGTATGATAATGTTGATATCGTTGCATTGACAGCGGATGTGTTCCCGCGCCTTGATTTACCAAGTTGCAGGTATCATTGCAAGGCCCTGCATCTCTCTGGGATGCGCTGTCCAACGTGGTGCGAATTCTGACGGGGTCTCGAAGTTCATGTCCCCAGGATCGATATCCGTGTTGTTCTGAAGCATTGTCAGGGGGCCAGTGACGATCTTCAGTGGGTCCTGTGAACGGGATATGTTCTGGGGCAGCGATTCTTCGCACTCGCGTTGGACGACGTACGGTGACGTGTGATGTGCAGTCTGCGCACTTAGGTGAGGGCGTCGCCCCTCGCCTCGTCGTGGCGTGCGCCTGTAATGCTTGTACCGTTGGCGACAGTAAGCGAAGGCTGTGCCACATTATGATGATGACTTGCCCAACCGTCGTACAGCACAACTACATGGCACCGACTTGCACTCATGCTTTCATACGTTGCGCGCAAACCAAGAGTGCACCCGTGAGTCCATAGTGCAAGAGGGCGACGCAATACATGAGGCTGACTTCATAATTGCGATGCTCCGCGACGTTGATTTACCAAGTCGCTCTTTCTCCCGCCCTGCCTTGTTTGTGCGATGTAGATCTGGCTCTTTAGTGTCACGCACTCCCCATGCAGCGCTTTCACTAAGTGGTGCTCATGCTGCTTGTAAGGACTTGGCTCGGAGTTTGGGGTCCTAGGCTGGTGTGAGCCCGTGAGTGCCTCGTGCCAACTAGGGGCTTGGGGTTCTTCCGGGCAGTGGGCGCCTCATGTTGCAGTGGGGGGCCCCTGCCAAGAAGCACCTCGCTTGCCTCCAGGGTGCCCTGGCTTCCTTGGGCTTCGATGGTTTTGCCATGGACAGGGTGGCGTTCCCGCTCCAGAAATCCGTGGACGTCCTGGGGTCTCAGGGTTGGCCTCCGCTGTCGTTGGGAGTTCGAGGCGCGCGGCCCCTGAGGTGCCGCGGGCCCGCAGGCAAGGCCTGCGCAGCACGGCGTGCCCTGCACGGCGTGCCCCACGCGGGACTGCGCCACACGGCCTGCGCCGCACACCGGGCAGCGCGCTGCTTTTGCACCCCTGTGGCGCACACCACATGGCTTGTACCCGCACAGGCTGCACCCCCCCCAACACACACACACACACTCACGCACACACCACAGACACACACAAACACACACAAACACACAAACACACGCACAGAGAAACTGCACCACGTACACACACACATATATATATATATATATATATATATATATATATAGCACACACACCCGGGCCTCAAGACCTCACAGTTGCGGCTCACTCCGGCTAAGGCATGTTCGCATGTTGTTTCTCCAGTCGTGGAGCAGTTGGAACGACAGGTTGTGGTGGCAGCGGTGATGAGAAGTCGGTCACGTGCGTGTCGCACCAACCCTATCACCCATATCTCTCTCTCTCTCTCTCTCGTTGTCCACCATCTCTCACTCTGCATCCCTCCCTCCCTCCCTCTTCTCTCCCCCTCTCTCCTCTCTCCCTCCCTCTCCCCCTTCCATCTCTCTCTCTCATTCTCTCTATCACTGTCCCTTTCTCTCTCTCTCTCTCTTTCTCATTCCCCCCTCCCCTCTCCGAATGTCTCCGACCCATATGCCACCCCCATCCTCGTCCTCTTGCTGTTCCTGTTGCTCCTTCTCGCCTCCCTCCTCATATCCCCCTCCTCCCTCGCACCCGTTCCCGACACAAGGAGGCCAGGGCGCCAAGCTCGGCGTGGAGCCCGGCTGGCAGCTGACCGAGATCGACGGAGAGCCGTTCCGAGACGGGGTAGGGTCCATTTCTTCCTATTCTTCCCCTTCTTCCTCCTCCTCCTCCTCCTCCTCCTCCTCCTCTCGCCTCCTCCTCCTCCTCCTCCTCCTCCTCCTCCTCCTCCTCCCCCTCCTCCTCCACTCCCCTCCTCCTCCTCCTCCTCTCCTCTCCTCCTTCCTCCTCCTCCTCCTCCTCCTCCTCCTCCTCCTCCCCCTCCTCCTCCTCCTCCTCCTCCTCCTCCTAGTAGAGGTATTGGACGAATGCAGCAGCGGTTTGGGGTAGTACGGTAGCAGGTGGCGGGCAGCAGGTGTCTATCCCTGTCGTTGAAAATGGGTGTTGTTGGAGTCCCAGGTTCCAATCTTCTTTAGGCGCCTTCATGCTTCATGGATCGAGTGGCTTCCTCGTGTCCGTCCTCTTCAGGGGGCGGGCGGACACTGAATCTACTTCCAACGACTTCCTGCTGCATGTTTCTACCCACTTCTTCCGACCGATGGGTGCAGCAGATGTTTTTGGGGAGTAGGTAGCAGGTGGCGGGTAGCAGATGTAGTGGTAACATTGGCATTGACAGTAGTGAGATTCGCGACAGTGTTTGTGGTCGCAGTGGCAGTGGAGACTGTATGTGCAGGAGTGGCAGTGGCTGGGGTTGTAACAGAAGGCGTAGCAGCAGGATTTCACGTAGCAGTTGCTTGTGCTGTACCGTACTGTCAGCCAATGCATGATCGGTAGCCGTAGCAGCAGTAGCAGGTCTACCGCCACCAACAGTAACAGTAGCAGCAATGTTGTCCACAATCCTCCTTGTGGTCTAGTCCTCGTTCTGACCATAGCACTTTCCGCTCGCCTTCTCCTCCTCACGCCTCCTCCCACCTCACGCCTTCTCTCTCGTCCCTCTCCGCGCCCCCTGCCTCTTTTCATCGAGTGATCCTTCCCCGGCCATTTCGCTGCACTCCTGTGGGTCAGAGGACTGCGGACCGCACATGCACACATTGGACTTAGCCCCGCCCCCCCCCTCCCACCCACCCCCCCCCCTCTGTGGGTACTGCCAGGCGCCCTTGGGGATTCACCCAGGCGCAGCGCCGCGCGTGCCCAAGTTGGACCTGGCCGTTCGCCGTGCTGCGCCTCCGGGGCCCAGCGGAGTTTGGAACCAGGCAGGCCCTGATGGGCCTGCTCTCCACCACACCGCCACAAGTTGGAGGGGGGTCCTCCCTCCTCCTCCTCCTCCTCCTCCTCCTCCTCCTCCTCCTCCTCCTCCTCCTCCTCCTCCTCCTCCTCCTCCTGGCCCCCCCCCGTTCTGTCGGCTGCCGGGTGTTTCCAGCGTGGCCGTTTCCGGCCGACAGAACGTGGGGGGGAGCTGTCCAGCTATTCCCATGCTGCCCGCTTGCGGGGGGCCCGCTGGCGCCGTGCGCCACCCGCCGCCGTGAGCGCCCCGCGGCCGGCCGCGCGCCCGCCGCGCGCCCGCGCGCGGGCGTCCGCCGGCCGCGGTGTCTCGCGGCTTTAGTGCTGTGCACTCCCCCTTTCGAGGGCATTCCAATCCAATCCAATCCTCCTCCTCCTCCTCCTCCTCCTCTCCTCTCCTCCTCCTCCTCCTCTTCCTCCTCCTCCACCCCTCCAAGTTCGCGTGGTGGTGGTGGGAAACATGCCCATCAGGCTCCGACTACACCTCCGCTGCCGCTGGTGCTGCCAACCGAGCAGCTGCCGCACCGCCGCCGTGCCCGACGGCGCCCGCGCGAGAGAGCGAGAGCGCCCGCGCGCTCGCCCGCTGGGCCTCGCCGCCCCCTCCCCTAAGCCAGACGGCACCTCCGCCCCCCGGCGGCCGCCGGGCGTGCAGCTGCCGCTGCTTCGCCGCGCCCGAGGGGGGGTCGTCCAGCGGAGCGCGGCGCCGCGCGGGCCAGATTAAGCGAGGCCTCGGCCCTCCCTGGCTGCGGCCAGTCGTGGGGCCGCCGCTGCCTGCGTGTGCCCCGATGGGGTGGGTCCAGCGGAGTGCCCCAGCCGCAGGCCGCCCCCCCCCGTGTTCACCCCTGCCCCTCCCTTCCCCCGAAGGGCCTTCGCCTGCCCGCCGCCGCCATCTCCAATGGGGATGGGGTGAAGATACATGTGCATGCACAATGATGTGTATATATATATATGTGTGTATATATATAGGAATATACACATATACATAGACATACAATGCAGAAGTACCACGTGCCTTGTTCGCGCATCGCTCGCAAGTCTGCTGAAATTGATCCATGTGCTCATCCTTGTCAGTATCCTTCTCCCGTCCACCCCTCCTCCCCGTATCATTCCCCGTGTTTTTCCTACTGCTCCTGCTATTCTTCACCCCCTTGTTCGTACCGCCAGCTTTAAAGGCCCCCCAGAGGATTGGAAGGCATGGACTGCCCCTACGCTGTGACCCTCTGACTGACGGCTTCAGCGCAGCAGTTTTTTTATGGTTTCGCGACGGGACGTGTGCCCCTGAGGTTTTCACGCGCGTTTGACGGGTTGGTTGCGTCCCCGAGCCGATTCAATGGCACACAGGAAGTCGTACAGCCGCGTCGGAGAACTGAGCCGCAGCTCGGGTTCGGGACGGGTTCGCGGTGTTCCTGAAGCATTTCCATTCAGGACGGAAAATTCACAGACACAATCAATCGTCGATCTCCCAGAAGATATGGGAAAATATGGGAAGTGGGGGGGGAGGACAAAAGCCCAGGACATAGGGGAAAATATGGGGAATATGTTTCTTTGTGTGTATTTATTTGTGTGTCCCAGGGCCGCTTCACTGAAGTCTTTCCATGGTTTTTCCTTCGGCGCTCATCGCGCACCTGGGCGCGTTGGGGGCCAGCACTGGTCACCACTCACCAAGCCACCCCCAACCCAACCCGAAGGCCCAAATTTACCCTCGACTTCCAGTTGGGGCGGGTCGGGGAACATCGAACAAACACATGTGGAACCCGTTGCACCCCCCCAAACCCGAAATGTGGGTCTTCGGATTAGGTGGGGGTAGTCTGGTAGGTAGTCAACTAGGCCTCGCTCCGTATTCAGCGCCTCTTATAGTAGCGGCTTGGTTGTAGTTTACGTGCTGGTTCATAGATCTAGCATGCCCTTGCGAGCCCGGTGTCATCAACGGTGCTCACGCTGAAGTGTGCCGTAACATGCCCAGTAAGTTCGCAAACGATGTTCTATCTCAACCCCTGACTGTTCGATTAAATCTTAAGCGGCTAAGGAAAGACAGGGAACCCTGGAATACACCCCAAGGGGGCTATTCGGACGCACCCCTATCGAGAACAGACGCCCCCCCCGTATATCCCAGGGTTGGGCCCTCTATTTTCGGTCCATTTGAAGAACATTCGAAGCCCGGGATAGGGGTCCGCATATCCCCATGTCATACAGTGTTCCCAGGTGTCCCACTACTATCGTGCGTTGGGGCAGGGATGGGGCGGCGGAGGCGGGCTTAGTGTGCCATCCTTCTCCTAAAGTCGACCGTCTCTGGCGTGCCGAGGGATGCCCGCTCCGCCTCCTGCTTTGCCTCAGGCCTACCGTCCCCTCCCTTTTGTCCCTCTTCCTCTCCGCCGTCCCTCGTCGTCTTCGCCCTCCTCCCCTTTCCTCCTCCGCCGGCTCCCCGCCTCTTCCCGCTCACGCCCCCCCCCATCTCCCCCCTCTCCCTTCTGCCTCTTCCCCCGTCTCAGTTCCCCTCCACGTCCTTGTCCATTGCCCCCTCCTCCCCCCCCATTCCCTCCCCATCGCTGCCCCTTGCATCCATCCCCAGGGGTGGGGAGGTTCTCGAAAGACCTGCTGATGAAGTGCATTGGCGGAGGCAGCTACCCTACAGCCGCTTGTCCTCTCCTCCCCCTGATCGTCCTCACGCCCCCCAGCCCTGCATCCATCTTCCATGCCCACCCCTCAGCATCACTCCTGCTTTCTCCTCCTGACACACCAGTATTTGAAAGTAGGCATTTTTAGATTCCCAGATCCCAATCTACATCAAGCGCCTTTCTACTTCAAGAGTCGATATGTTGTTTGCGGGCGTAATTATTATCTGAGGGGGCCTGAACCCAATCTCCTTTAAGCGCCTTTCTACATCATGTGTTTCCCTAGTTCTTCCGACCGACGTGTACTGTTTCTTTTCCTCTGCCTCATCCATGTGTTCATCCACCTCCCCAGTTCCCATCCCCACAATTTTTCATCCCCTCTCCAGCGGCGCCTCCCCAGCCTTCCTCATTCTTCGGCTCCTCCCTTCCCCTCCGTTCCCTCAGTTCTCCATGCTCCCTCCTCTTTCCTTCCCTGCTTGCTCCAATCCAACTCCCTCCCTTCCCCCCACCACCTCCCTCTTCTGTCATTTCTCATTCTCGTCCTCACCCTCTCCGCCCTGTGCACCCCATGAACTGACCGCTTTCTAGCACATGGAGCCCGCCGCCATCGGATTGTCGATGCGCCGACGAGGCATGCCATTCCCCTGGAGCTGCTTCGGTGCTCAGTCATACACCTCCCAGGTGCAGAGAGAGAAGACGCCGTGCACGTCATAGGTGCGTGGACACGACAAGTGACGCCGACGCGGCAGCAGCGGAGTGTCTAGCTACCCGAGACGTACCCAGGCCTTGCTCCACGCGAGGCGAATCGTTGTATGAATTCTCAAAGTACAAGAACCCATCGCTGGACATGCACGATCAGCGCTGGCATCATCTCCAGCGTGCCTCCCAGGAGCCCGCGAACGTGACGACAGTTTCGAATTTCATAGCTTTCCAAGGAGCCTGGCGATTTCGCTGGACCTCCCAGGAGCCCACGAACGTGGCGACAGTTGCGCATTTCGTAGCTTTCCAGGGAGCCGCGAGGT